TTGTCTCTAATTCATAAGAAGAGACCTCAACACAAAGCGAATGACGCAAAACAAGGCGAGTTTATTAACAACATATCAAACTATCCAAAAACCATTGGTGCTCTTTTCATTGGAAAGTGACATGAACTGGTTCACTTTGTGACTCAGCTTCTTGAATGGTATAAATAGAAGGGCATCGCGTATGTAATCTCATCATTTAACAAAAACTGTGTATCTCTTTGTAAATACATTTAACTTACACGGACATTTTTAGGGCAATATAGTTCACGGGCCAGAGAAGGTTCTCGATACCACTTATTTGATGAAAGGGTATGTAAAAGAATCTTCAAATTCACTTGATAGCAATCGCGAAAGAGTAGCTTTCTCCATTTTTTTAGTGGACTTATTATCAGTAACCAGGGAAAAATGACAACAACAACAACAAAGAAATGTTCGGACAAATGCATGAAAAAAGAACCCAGTGAAATAAAAAACCGAGCAATCAATCAAAACTGGTTTTAACTTTACATCACAACGATTCAGTAACAAATGGAGACAGTTATTAATAAATATCGTAACGTAAGGATCAGAAAAAGGAAAGTAAGGTACATTTTTTTTAGGACTGTCCCAACTAACTAAATATTGTACATCTTTCTTGGTTAAATTGCAAGAAATTTTCACAAATAATGTAAGAATTCAATTGTCAATTATTATTAAATAAATAGTAAGGGGAATGTTCTCTATAAAAGAACAAATGGATAAATTATTATTATCTATAGGGGCTAAGAATAGTAATGGATACCTCCTGCGTTACTGTACATAAAATATTTTGAGAAAAACCCATCTTCACATGACGCTGGTGAATGAAGAGTTACTAATAAAATATGTAAACGCACTGAGCGGTCAACTTTGCACCTTAACACATTTTTTTCCATAAGTGGAATCAGTCGGAACTATTGCTGGATAAAGCCGCCTAATAAAAACCACGTGCTGAAATTTTGCCCATCGTCTTCCATTGCTGGATTGCGTTGTTTTCCCGTCGATGTCATCTGTTCCCGAAGGAAGTGAATAACGTACACCACGATCGTGAGTGTACATGCTGACGTTACTCTAAAAAAAAAACAAACAATCAAACGAAAAAATACAGTAAAACCAGCATTTACGTATTCACAGAGATTGCAGTTTCTTGATATCTTCTATAGCGCTCCTGGGCTGGATTTCCGAAATTCGAAAAAAAAAAAAAAAAAAAAAAGAAACCGCAAAAACTTACACTAACACATCAGATGGAGCACCGCCGAGTTCTGTCCAGTCAAACATATGGATTTTCTTTCGCCTCTGCCAAACCAACGAGATGAAAATACCTTAAAATACCGATTACTTTTTCTACCGCACACCTTTTCTTTGTTGAATTGCCAATCAGTTGGCATTCTAGACCCAGAGATTGTCTTGAGCTTTACTTTGGGCCTTACTGGTGAAATGAGAGTGACTTTGCTCTAGGCTGAGAGGTCATTACCTTCTATCAAAATCCAAGACACCTGACATCTCCAAAAATGTTAATGAGTGAAAAAAAAGTGACTATTGCACTTAGGTAACCTGGCGCAAACCACCAAAACTTTCCCCAACATAATCTCAAAGATAACGCAACACAATCAGTTACTCGCCAAACATAAGATTATCGATTTGTTTAGAATTAATCAGCGCACGAGGACGAATATGGAAAGGCTATCGGGCATCAAGTGAACTAACATCCGATAACATCTCGAACTGTGAACAGGACCCTGAGAGTGACGCTAAATGAGTACGCTTCAAACTTCGAGTCTCTTGACTGAGACAAACACCATGTCTCAGACGCTTTTTTCGAAATAGTTTCACAATTCTTTTATTACTTTTTTTTTCGAATTTCTGTAGTTCTTAGCATTAGAAACAAAACAAGAATGTAAATATTGCAAAGAAAAGCTCTTCCGTGGAAAAGCGCCAACGTTTGACTGAGAGGTTTGAAATTTCAGAATTTAGACCACCTGTTCATGGTCTAAAATTCAAATTCGGTTAAAAGATTCCTTAGGACTAGAGGATATTAGGATCACACAGTTCTAACTCAATTTGGTCATCTCAAATAAAATTTTGTTCAAAAGTTCTCTTCTATAGTTCGGTCGCATGTCACATTAAAACGATGTTAAAAAGAGTGAGCAACCCCGCGTAAAAGAAAAAAAAAACAAGCAACCCAGAAAGAGCGACCCTCTATTAGTATAAAAGTTTTGTATTCAAATGATGGTCATTAATAGCTTTTAGGACCTGTCAAGTCTCTCATTTTAAAACAACATATACGATACAATATCATATTGTGGTGACGAAAGGGTTGGAATACACGCGAGAAATTCTTCAGTGCTGTAATTTGGGAGCAGCTTACATCATAAATTTAAGTAACGTAAAGATAAAAAGAACTTGAACTGACACACGTTAGATGACAAAAAAAAACCTGTCACGTTTGCAGCGTCATTGACTTAAATGAACTTCACAGTCGCCCAATTGTTAGTGTCAGGTTGAGTAATAAATTGTTCAAATTTTTCTGGAATTTCGAGAGTTTGTTTGCATTTCCGTTAAATATTTCTACAATTTACTTGGCCTGATCCTAAACTTAAATTCGAATTGTAGCTTCATCTCTGCACTCAAGTTTTTATGTCGTTCTCGAATAGTGGAATCTTGTTTACTATGAACAAATTAACTGCATCCCACATCATCAATATTTGCTCTGCTTGGAACGGACAATTTGACGTTCCTCAAGGTTAATTATGTTTTCCTTAGCTTATGGATGGGTTTCTTTAGTTAGGCAATGGATAATGAAAAGATGACAGGGATGTGTTATGAAAATACTCCTAAGAGCTGATTTGAAAGTAGCTTTCGTATGTTTGTAGTTAAAAATTAACCAAACCTTAATTCGTGCCTAAAAGCTAATAATTTGTACCGATTAGTTTTCATTTAAAATTAATGAAACAAATATCCTCGCCATTGGTTAGCAAACATCGCAAACAGAACGATTATAATATTTTAACTTCCGGCCCGAATCTTGTTGAATTCAATACTTGAGAGGAGCGAAAACAGAAAACATGAAGTTCTTCTTCAATGTTAATTATTGGACTTTGGCTTAAAACAAACGGTTGGTATCGTAATCATAGTCATAATACCTTGATGAAAGACAGCATTTTTATCTCCGTAGCAATCAAGTGGTTGAGGACCGCATTTCGTATATTTATCAGCTCTAGAGTTACGTAGAATAAGTTTGACTTATATCCCAAAATAGGGTTTGGTAAATATTTGAGGGAAAACTAACTACGGCTACCTTTTAGGATTTAGTTTTCAGATATCACCTATGAATGCCATCCATAGAAAGCCTGTGTATTTGGTTTAACACGATGGTGGTCGAATTCTACTTTGTTTCTACTTCCCCTAGACGGTTTTGAGGTTTTGCAGTGCCTTGGAAAAGATTAAACGGAAAAAAAATTGTAGCAAATGTCGTGCGGGAACTTACTTTTTTCTTTTTATATAGAGGGCTGAAGTGGTCTCTAAGACTAACACAAACAATTAAAACAAAGAATTGATAGCGTTCATATAAGTTTCGGCAAGAACGGAATCATGAGGTTCATTTTGGATAAATGATTCGAAACAACTTTTCTCTCAAGCTATTATTTTCAAGTCACACAGGTGTTATTATCTCGGACTCAAGTTTCAATGCATAAAGGCTGTGCATTGAGTAAACAAGGTACCTGGCAACAATTTGACGAAAATTGCGGATGTAATTTCTTCCGGGGTTTTTCTAAGTATGTCTACACATCATTCTGAAATGTTTGAGGGCACTCGTTTTTGAGCAGAGGTGAATTATATATCTTTTAGGCTTAAAACTTTCTGAGAGTTGATAACCAAGTCTCCCTGACGTTGGTGAGTGTGGGGCTCTAAGGAATAATTGAGTGTTTATCATTCGCTATTCCTTTTCCGGGTAAGTGAAATTCTCTGTTTTCATTAAGATGAGAAATAATGTTGTTTCGGCTATGCTAATAAAACGGTAAAATTGAACGTGCTTCATCTGTGTGTTGATACATTAAAGAAAAAAATTGCAAGCGCAAAGAATTCAAAGAAGCGAGTACTCATCTTTTACCAGCACAACCTACGACAAAGTAATTCTTTTACCGTTAAAGAAAAAATTAGAGATTCGTGTAAACGGTACAGAAATCATGTAAACAGTTCTTCCGTGTATAACGTTATAAATAAAATCGAGACCAAAGATTTTCCGCAATTCAACTGGCCTTTTTCAATTAAAAAGCCTCAATTCAATCGACGAATTCACAATGCAAGTTCAACCTCATATCTTCCCTCTTAAACTGATATGGAGGAGGAATCGAATCATTTTGTTCAAACCGAATCTTTAGCGCGAAAGTTCTGCCTCGTTGTTTAACAAGGGTGACGGAAAATTGCAAGCACAGTAAGGTAAGGAAAAACCGGAGTCTTATTTAACCTTTTTTCTCCTATCAAATTGCCATAACTCGAATATTCTCTCCCGCAAATCGAATGGTCACGAAATGTTTTGTATCGCCAAAATGTCGCAACTCATAACAACATGGATCAAGGCATTTAAACAAATATTTGGATGCTTGCCTCACTCGTTTCATTTTCATCTGTTAGTCGTGAAGCCGATCAACATCTCAGCTGCGATTCTGTCTAAGAAACAACCTTTACAATTCCCAAATAACTGCAAGAGATGTAATAGTTACAGATATCGAAGAAGGGGTGAACAAAGGTATAGCGACTCAGTCAGTAAAACATGTGGTAGACGTGTTGTTGACTTGCAGCCGATTCAGAATGGATTCCTTCATTTCTCTTCCGTTTGTTTCTCCCTCCTTCTATTTTTTTAGTGCATTTTTGTTTGTTTACTTGTTTGGTTTGGTTTGCGTTAAATTTATGGGCCAGAAAAAAACGTTCAAAGCATATTCCTAAATAATATACACTTTCCAATTTCAGCATCGGTGGCAATGGCGTGGAATTCAAGCTTCCTCGTTCTAATGGCCTCTTTGTATCTCATGAACCTCGCTATTGCTAAAAATCCGTGCAAGACAAAAGTTAGCGTACCTGGAATGGCTCTCAAAGGATTCGTCTTTAAAAAGGTCCCAGTAACAGCTCCTCATGTGTGCGATATCACCTGCGAGAGGGAAACGATATGTCAAAGCTACAACTATGTAATTGGCGAAAAGTCTTGTGAATTGAACTCCCGAACCAAGGAAGCAAGGCCCGAGAATTTCCAGCCAGATGATTTACGCCTTTACATGGGACACATTAGTGGTAGAAGTATGTATCCGGTTTAGTTTATTTTAAATACAAATCTTTCTCAATGAGTTCTTAGTAAAAACCTGCCACATTCTGAGAGCAAGTGTCTGATTGCTTCATTATTAAATACATTAATATCAGCTAAAAATTCACGGATCTTCATTATTATTATTCTGTGTTTATCTTGCCCGGACAAATATATTTTCAACTCTAATCTGTTTTGAAACTTCTATTACCCTTAAACTATATATTAATGAAGTCATGTCTACATCATAGCCCCCTTAGGGTCTATTCCCGAACTAACAGCGTTATCGTGCCAAGAAATAAAATTAAGTGAAGGTAAAGACAGCATCAGTAAAAAGTATTGGTTGGATCCAGCTAATGTCGGGAGTTCAGAGTTGGTTTACTGCGACATGATTTTGGAAGGTAAGTCACTATACCAAGAACAGAATTTACACAGTGTTTGGTATGCCTTTGTCCTTGTCTTTTGTGAAATGTTTTCACTATGTCTCAGAAATTTCTTCGATTAATTTCCAAATAGACATCGATGAATGCAAAGGCAGCAATAACGTTAATTGTGACGAAAATGCAAACTGCTCCAATACTGTTGGGTCTTATAATTGCACCTGCAAAGACGGATTTACTGGGGATGGTCACTCGTGCTCAGGTAAAATAGTTACAGACATGCCGAGGTACAATGTTTAATTTTTTCTCGTCCAAAAAACACTGGAGGTACATTTGAGCTATCTACAATCGAGTGAGTGAATAATAGAATAATAATAGCTTGCATGCTATATCAGTGGATCCTTAGCATTAAACAAAGTAACTTATTAAGTTTTTTTTTTAAGCAGCACTTCCCATACATGTTTATGCACGGAGTTGCCATGATCTACATCCGGTTTGTTTCATAGCCATCATGTTAGGAGATGTAAAAAAAACCGTTAAAGAAGAGAAAATCTAGTTGGTTAAAGACAAAAAAAGAGAAAGCTTTTTGTTATTATTTGAAATGACTAAAGTAGTTGCAAATCATTAGGTGGCAAAAATAAAGTGCAAAACACATTTACGCTTTCTCAGATATTGACGAGTGTAAAGGAAATCACTCCTGTCACGTGAATTCTAAGTGCAATAACACTCTTGGATCACATATATGTGAATGTCAGCCTGGATATACTGGGAATGGACGAAACTGCACAGGTTAATTTAATTTCTTCGTTACAATATTTAGAATAGGCCTGCATGACACGTTTAACTACGGCGACGCACCATTCAGCCACGATGCAAGACAATTATATAATTTATTACTCATAACTCGTTATGATTTAGGCAGCCGTTTCTCATGTTAGGAACCTCTTAGGTAATGTCCCTGACTTTTAATTGAACAATTTTGGTGACTGATGCACTGTTATTCTGCTTTTAAATAGACCCTAAAAAAGTTATTGACAAAGGCATGAAAACAAAATCGTTCGTTTGGCTCTGAACCCTGTGCATATGATATATATGTACGTGACTTTCCATGGCGCTACGTTTTCGTTGATATATTTGAGAGAAAAAAGTTGAAAATTATTATCATCGAGTTTTATAAAATAGTCAAGATACTACAAGCGCCCCGATTGGTCAAAATTAATTGTTATAGGGGGCAAGTTTCTAAAGAAACTTTGGTGCTGCGTCGGTGGGAGAGTATAGCAGGTAATTTAGTTAACAACTGAGTTCAAAATATAAATTGGCCACCGTAAAGAGTAAAAAAAGCTAATCAGCCTTTTTACTCTTTACGGTGGCCAATCTACGTTTTCAACCCAGTTGTGGACACTAAATTACCAACTTTTGATTATGTTTTAAATGATTTAAAAACCTTACACAAACTTTAATGTGATGCAGACATGACACTCTCCGTGGAACTTAAAAACCCTAAAAGAATCTCTCCAAGATTCCTTTATAAAAGCAAACCTTGTGTAAAAAAGAGATGAATGTAGGCCTGAAGACAATGTTGATAATGACACAATTGTATTAAATAAACATTCAGTGGTAAAAAAAATCTCAACTGGCAAAGGGGGACTTGATAGATGGGCTTACAGGACAAAACAACAGATTTAAAACTCGCGAGGAACCAAGAAAAAATCTAGTGAGCTCTAAAGTGAAGTGCTTGCGTCTAGGACCCAAGAAAACAAGACTAAGGTTTCTAAGCTTATGCTCGGCAACTTCTTCCCAATTGCATTTTTTAAAATATATTATTTTTTATGTTTATCATTTTACAGATATTAACGAGTGTAAAGGAAATCACTCTTGTCACGTGAATGCTATATGCATGAACACCAAAGGATCTCATGTTTGTACTTGTCACCCCGGATATACTGGAAATGGAAGCGACTGCACAGGTACTTGATACATTTCTTTTGAAACCATTTCCATCAGAAAGAAAAGCACTATCTATTTGCGAGACTTGTTTTACCAGCATACCTTGTATTGACCCTTTCACTCCTAGGATCTCATTAGCAATTCTGTTTACTGTCTACCATATAATTCTTATGATGTTAGTTCAAAGAATTTGGTATTGAATCAACTGATAATCCTCGAGCTGATATTTTTCCTTATTCTCGTCACTTGTCTGTTTGATATTGTAATGATTTGGTAAGGAGAAATTCTTTCTTGGTCATTAATGGGAGGAAGGTAGTTAAGTAAACATTCAGTGCATGGTAAAAAATCTCCACTGGTAAAGGGAGACTTGATAGATAGGCTTACAGGACAGAACAACAGATTTGAACTTGGGGGAACCGAGAAAAAAATCTGGTGAGTGGTTGTGTGAAGCACTTGCGTCTGGAACCACAAGACAACAAGACTAGGGTTTCTTACGTTATGCTCTGCAACTTTTCTTTAATTACAGTTCGTTTCTTTAGTTATGTTTTCGATTTTACAGATATCAACGAGTGCAAAGGAAATCACTCTTGTGACGTGAATGCTACATGCATGAACACCCTTGGATCACATTCATGTCAATGTCATGCTGGATATACTGGAAATGGACAAAACTGCTCAGGTGAATTTAATTTCTTCGCTACAATATTTTTAATAGTCCTGTATGCCTTCCGGCTACAGCGCCGCACCATTTAGCCGCGTTGCAAGACAATTAGGTAATTAATTACTCATTACTGGTTTTGATTTAGGCAGCCATTTCTCATATTAAGAACCTCTTAGGTAGTGTCCCTGACTTTTAAATGAACAATTTTGGTGACTGATGCGTTGTTCTGCTTTAAAATTAACCTTTTCACAATGACTGGCAGGAGCATGAAAATAAAATCGCTCGTCTGGCTCTGAACCATGTGCACAGGATGGATATGTAAATGATTTTCCATGGCGCTACGTTTTCGTTGACACTCAAGATATATTTGAGTGAAAAAGTTGAAAATTATTATCATCAAGTTTTATGAAATAGTCAAGATACCACGAGCACCCTGATTAGTCAAAAAACAATCGTTGATTTCACCGGTAAACCTGTGGAAAACTCACAAAATCCAGCGTGCATTAGATCGCCAGTAAACTGAGAGAAAGAGCGATGAATAAAGGTGGTAAGGTTCTACATGAACTGCGGTGCTGCGTCGGTGGGAGAGCACAACAGGGTAATATAGTATTATCAACTGAGTTGATGAGGTAAACTGGCCACCGTAAAGAGTGTTACAGCGAATGCTCGAAACGTCAGCTTTGAAACTCTTTACAGAGGCCAATTTCCATTATCAACTCAGTTGATAAGGTAAGGAAAATAATGGGGAAGGAAAAAAATCGAAAATAAATGGTAGGTTGAGTCCTGAAGGGATTTTATATTTTTCTCTGACCTTATCTGACCCTTTTCTTAGAACGAAAGGAAACCTTTAGGAGGCCGAGAGAAACTACACACTCCTGAGAAATAATTGTTATTAACGAATACCTCGGGGCTGGCATCGTTGTGCGGGAGCTGAGAATCAAATATGTCTTAAACGCATTTGGTAGCATACAGTAGAGGTACATACAACTCAGACTTCAATGGGCGATTAAAACAAAAGGAAACATTACTCTTTGTAAAGCTATCAGTGATTGAGGAAGATGTAACGCTCGAAACGTCAGCTTTTTACCCTTTACGGTGGCTAATTTACGTTTTTAAGTCAGTTGTTAACACTAAATTACCTGCTGTAATTATCAAAGCCTGGTTGATGCCAAGATTAAGAGTAGTTACGCTATATCGCAATTTGATCCAGTCTTTAGTGACGACCTACCCCCCAAGGGATGGTACGTTTTGTGGGAGCAGCAGGAACAAGCCAGTTGTTTCAGAGCCGATAGCTTGATAAACTGAAATATTCGTGATAAAATATACGTTTCAAATATCTAATTCGTGGAACACAAAAAAGAGAAAAATTTTTTTATTATGTATGATTATCAAAGTAATCACTCGACTGAGAGTGAGGTCATTTTGAAAGTGACAAACATGATGAAGTGCTAGTATATATGTGGTTTCTCAGATATTGACGAATGTAAAGGAAATCACTCTTGTCACGTGAATGCTACCTGCACGAACACCAACGGATCCTATCTTTGTGAATGCCACCCTGGATTTAATGGAAATGGTCAAAGCTGCACAGGTGAATTTAATATCTTTGCTATAATATTTAGAATATTCCTGCTCGAATATAACCTGAAGCTGCCGAGGTGGCCATATTATAGTTTCTCATATGTAAACGATACTGGTTGTACCCCAAGTCTGCCTAGAGCTGTCCTTTAATGCGTTGTCTGAAAAATAAGGAGCTCAAATTCGGGTCCTGCTGAGTTTATCTTGATCTCCGATATCACCGTTTTAGTCTCAAAACCTTAAAGTAGTTAAAGACTTGCGAGTTACAATGTTTAATTCTTTTTCGCCTAAAAACGCTGTAGGTACATTTAAGCAATTGCTATCTGCAATCGAGTGAGTGAATAACAGACCAATAATGACTTGCATGCTATATCTGTGGATCCATAGCATTAAATAAAGCAATTTTAGCAGGAGCTATTGTCCTATCAGTGCTAAGCTTTGTTTTTTTTAAGCAGCACCACCCATACATGCTTATGCGTGGAGTTGCCATGATCTACATCCGGTTTGTTTCAGAGCCATTATGTAAGGAGATTAAAAAAAGAACATTGGAGAAGAGAATATAATATCTAGGATGCACTTTCAACAATCTAGTTGGTTTAAGACAAAAAAGAGAAAGATTTCTTTATTAGCATTTGAGATGATTTAAGTAATTACAAATCGTTAAGCGACAAAAAAGAAGTGAAAAATGCATTTACGGTTTCTAAGATATTGACGAGTGTAAAGGAAATCTTTCACAAGACGAAATCACATGTTTCCGTATTTCTGAAACGTGGCGGAAACATGCAACTCCATGTTTCCGTTATGACGTCTTACTTCTACGTAAACGTTGTATACGCAGCAACGGAAACGCGAGAAAACGTCACGAAACCGGTAACGGAAACACAGGTTATCCGTCGTGTTTCCGGAACGGTTTAACATGTTTCTGCCACGTTTCCGTTTACAGATTCTTGCAATTTCGTCCTATGTTTCCTGTCACGTGAATGCTACATGCGTGAACACCCTTGGATTATATGTATGTCAATGTCATGCTGGATATACTGGAAATGGACAAAACTGCACATATGAATTTAATTTCTTTCCTAAAATATTTAGAATAGTCCTGCATGACACGTATATAATTGGTGAAACACAAAAGAGAGTAAATTTGTTTTATTCTTAAGCTGAGAACACCATAAGTACATGTTTAATTCCCGCCTAGCTACAGCTTTATTATCAAAGTAAGTAGACGACTAAGAGTCCGCCCATTTTAAGGTGACAAACCTGATAAAGTGCAAATATATATGTGGTTTCTCAGATATTGACGAATGTAAAGGAAATCACTCATGTCACGTAAATGCAACCTGCACGAACACCAACGGATCCTATGTTTGTGTATGCGAGCCTGGATTTAATGGAAATGGTCAAAGCTGCACAGGTGTATTTAATGTCTTTGCCATAAAATTTAGAATATTTCTGCTCGAATCTAACCTTAAGCTGCTGAGGTGGCCACTGTCGGCCATATTATTAGTTTGTCGTATGTGAACGATACTGGTTGGGCCTTTAGTCTGTTCAGAGCTGTCCTTTAATGCGCTCTCTGAGAAAGAAGGAGCTCCAATTCGGATTAAGCGGAATTCATTTGGATCTCCGATATCACTGTTGTAGCCTCTTTGAGTGATAATATCCTACTCATGTACTACTTGACCCCTTTATTAATGCATAGTCAATTTTCGGACCACATTTAGTATCTGGGCAACCGAGCTCGATTCATGTTCACCGTACTCGAATAGCAATTCGAGTACCATTTCAAACCAACCTCGGTTCAACGAGCTCGAAATGCAGTCAATTCTATTCGAGCTCGATTCAACTATATCGTGCTCGATTAAAAAGACGAGCTCGACGAACTCAATCTGCTCTTATCGACCTCAGTTATTTTTATCGAGCTCGGTTTGCCACGTTTTCTATCGAGCTCGATTTGGTATCGAGCTCGGTTAAGTCTTCATTCAGCAAATGAGAGGTAATCTGGTACCAAGACTTGGGAGGGAGCATGGGACGAGCGAGAGTGGCCATGTTTCTGGCAAATTTGTCGAGTTTAGTTCGTGAATTCGGGACTTTTTAGGAGTATGTTTTCGGTCGAATTCGAAAAAAAAGAAGAAGAGTGACAGAAGAAAAGCAAAGAATGATTTCTACTGCTAAGGAGATGAAGGAAATGACACTAAGGTGAGCATTGGCTCTTTACGGGAGGGTGTTCCGAGTTGCTGGTTCATAGTTTGTAGTAACGTTTTGTTCAGTTTCAAACTTAAGCTCAATCCTGGAGTGTACGGTTCTCGGTTATTTTAAATCTCAGTAGTGTAATAAGAAAGTGTCTCCCTCCATTTTACCAACCCCAAGTTTATCCCACAAAAAAGTATACATAACAACATGCAACAATACACACATTCTATTTTTATTATATAAGCTCAATACACTTTCGTGTTTCTATTTTAATTGGTCGTTTGTAACTAGGAAAAGGAACATAACTCTAATGAAATATGAAAATCTTTTGGAGAATATGACAAAAAAAGTCTGAAAAGTAATGTATGTTCATCTCTTGCAATCAAATATTAACTAAAGAAGATTGACGACATTTCACGAAATTAAGAAAGTGTGGCGGGCTAATGTAATTGTTAAAAGAAGCTAAATTTTTAAATATAAAATAAACATACAGTTCAAGCTGTGTTTATCAGTGAGAGAAATGTATTTTTGAATCCAGATTGATTAAATGTTGCTAGATGAAGACAGATTTGCCAATTTTGTGAAAAGTGAGTAATTTTCAGGAATTGGTTTGATAGTTGAGAGCAAAGAGGTTTCCATTATTAACAGGTCTTAAAATGTTCGATCCAGTTATGAATGTGTTACTAGATCCACCAAAAAGCCATTAAACAACTGCAACACTTCACTTTTAACAAAATGATCAATGCTTGTTGATCTAACCTTGGTTTTTAAACGGCCTGACCTAGCCCTCTTTATAGACTGCAAAAGCCATAAAGGGGATAAGAGACTTAGATTAAGTGTGATAAACAGTTAAGGAACTAAAGTGCTCCTTTGACTACATGGTATTTGTGGCTAATTTTCAGGAAGCTTAACACTCCTAAGTCTCAATGTGAACAGTTTCCTCAAAGTGAGATTTTTTCCTCAAAAAAATAAAAACAAAACAACAACAACAACAAAACCTCCAAGAGAGAGGACAAAGTCCTTCAAACGAGGAGCGTATATCAAAACATACAAGAAATAGTAATAGCTGACACAAGTAAACCAGGCCATACTGCATGTGCAACACTAACCCTATAACTCCCATGAGTGACCAAGACAGAATTTCTCCTTACGATAGTAACAAGATAAGTGATGAGAATAAAGAAAAAGATCAATTGGGGGATAATTAGTAGATCCAATACTAAATTCTCTGAACTAACATTAAAAGAATTGTACGGTTGACATTGAATAGAATAACAAATTTGATCTGGGAGTTAAAGGGTTAACTTTTAATTTCAAATCATAACTATTACTGCATAAAAGTAACAACTTGTACATCAGTTTCTGAAAAATTGAAAATCAAAGGTAAACAAAAACAAAAGTGCAGCTGACCAGGGTCCCTTTAAAATCCTTTTTTTTAACAACTGTCCTCCTTTTCCTTTTTTCTTTTTGCTGTTGTTCTTCTGTCCTTCTTTTTCCTTTTCCTTTCAAGTTTACTACTGGTATGTTCCTTCTCCTCTTCTTCTCTATGTTCCCTCTTTTCCTCTTCTTCTTCATCTTCTACCTTCTCCTCCTCTTCCGTGTTCACTTGTCTTTTGGCCACCAGTACTTCCTGTCCTTCCTCTGGAACAAAAATATAATTTTAGAGGTTGTAGTTGACAAATAATTGTCTTTTTCTTGCTGTTGATTTAAATTATATATTACCCTATTTGTAGGATTCCTAGATAGGACAGAATTGCTTTATACATTGCCAGTTTTAAGTAAGGGCCTAAGCAAAAAGGAC